CTGCCAAATGGCTGCGGGGGCCCGCCAAATGGGGCAGTGGCATGGGCTGGAACCTCAAAAAATGCAGGAACAGTGTTTTTAACAGCAAATTGAACTTGAAGCGCAGTTTATAAGATCAAGATGACATTTTTCGGAAAAACACAAAAAAGAAACTCCTCCTAAAATCACATTTTCTATGTGATGGAGTTGAGAATGGAATTTATTTCCCAAATAAAATTTCCAAAATGCCCTTAGATCAGTTTAGGCTCAAAACGGCGAAAATGCAACTTTGCACCAGCATACATTTGACCCCAAATGCACTTCTAAGCTGAAACGAATATGCACACACACGTAATAAATGATTTTGAGCGTGCGGGAATGGTCCGAGGCTCCCGAAAATGGTCGAGTCAAAATCCGACCCCCCAACGGCTAAAAAGGAGAAAATGAACTTGAAATGGAAACTTTGAAATCCAAAATCAACAAATGGTTTCAAATTATCATTTGGCCCTTGGCCACACTTCATGCATGACTAATGAGATCCTACGGAAGAATCAAAATGGAATTCCCACACCCGATACAAACATAGGGAGATAATAACTTAACATTTTTCAATAATTTCATAATATTTCATGAAGTCATAAATTACATAGGATACAAAATACATGTCATTGGCCTCCAGCTTCATTTCATACATGTCAAATACATTGTAAAGAGTGTACTTATGTACACACTACATAGATGGAATCAAATATACACATTTTGACAACTAAGGCTACAAGTGGCATTTCAAGCCAACCTTTACAAAAATTAAAGCTTTCAAGTCAACTACCATCCAAGCAATGATGAACATCACGCACCAAGTTTTCATACCCGAAACAGCCCCCAAGTAACTTCAGGGTGAGTAAACAAGTTTACTTGTAGAGGATGAGCATGCATCGACTCGATTTCTTTAGAGATTTTTAGGACTAACATGATACAGTTTAAAAGGGTCATGCCACCTAACGTCTATGTCAAGGGGAGACTCAGTGAGCATCCAAAGGTACTCATGCAATTGAGATAAACTACGGCATACAAGTATACATGCACAAGTATACTAAACAATGTTAAAACATGTTATACAACGTACAAGCATACATTTCCAAGTATACTAAACCATATTAAGACAAGTCATGCAATTTCTAAGCATATTTACACAAGTATGCATTTTATATGAAAATCTCGTAAATCAGGTATACTGACACAAGTATACTAAGCTAATAGGATTGCACATATGACAAGTATACATAGCACAAGTATACTAAATGCAATTTAAACTCATGGAGCAAGTATACAAGTTTAAGTATACTGATAAGGATTCAAATATCCAAGTAAGCATTAATTCTTAAGCTACAAGTAATCCATGATTAACAACTTGAAATTAAATACGAAATTAAATAGTGGAAAGACTAGGACATGCGGTCGCTAGACCAAGTAAGTATTTTCGGGGAATTACGACCCACAAGGTACTACCTAGTGTGCACTTATGACTTAGAGGACTCTCGTCTCCGTACTAGAGCCAAACCCTAGCCATCACATAATTTATGTCCTCACAAGCTTTCCAAAATCAACAAGTTCAAAACTTATACAAAATCAAATGCAAATTACCACATTCCATGCACAAGTAAGGTTGAATCCACACAATTCATGTCCTAGAATTCAAGTCTAAGTAGTATATGACAAGTCATGTCCTCAATATGCAATTTATACACTAAGCAAGAATATTTTTACAACAATTGAGCCACATTACCATTCTAAGCCACAAATATTAAATAAGCTTCAATTTAGTAACTAACTTCCAAGGTATACAATTGTAATATTCTAATAAGTTATATACCTACACAAGATATATGTAAACAAGTCATTCGAATCAATGATATTCCATATCATGCTAAGTGCAATTACCATGTTAAAGAGCCATAAGTACTAATTCTACATCAAGTTAATAGCATGCTCACAAGCTAATTAAAATGCCACATTTTAAGAGATTTTCAACCTAATCATGAAAAGTCTTTAGATTTCAAATCTATTCCAAATAATCTCAAATTAATATATGTTAAGCAACATATCATGGTCTTTACATATATCAAATCAAAAGTGCAAGATGAGCAAGATATCATCAAATATAATTTAATTAATTTAAATCAATTTAATCTCTAGATTTCAAAAGTTGTTCAAATGATCTCAAATTAATATATATCAAGTACTAAGTCATGGTCATACCATATATCAAGTTTAAAATGGAATACAAGCCAAACACAATTTACTAGAATTTAAATCAAATTAAATCCATTTAATCTCTAGATTTGAAAACTCATCTAAATCATTTCCAAATTAATATATATCAAATATCAACTCATGGCCATGCCATTTACCAAGTCTAAAATGAGTTATATGCAAGCTATGATGAATCTCTAATTTTTCAAATTAACAAAAGTCATGCATACAACTTATATTTCATACAAGAGCAAGTAAAATAACTTGGAAAATAAATTATAACACCCCCTACCTCACTAGAGAAGAGTCTCTTTAGAATCCAAGGCAAATCAACACAAAATGGCAAACCCTTCAAGGGTTATGTAGAGGAGGATGAGGGAAACAAAAAGTATTCTAAGCTTCATGGTCTAAGGTGAGTGGAAGGCCATCAAAAATCAAGATCAAGGCCAAAGGTTTGAAGCTCCATCCATGGAGGCTAGGGTTTTCTTTACAAGAGAGGGAAGATATATAAATTAAGTGAGAAGGAATGTGAGTGGAGGAAATAGAAATCCTTCACTCACTATGTGGTCTTACACCAAGGTTAACACACACAAATTTAAAACCAAAATCCCAAAGTGGCTCAAAAAAATAATTGCAAGACTTAATTTGGAGCATACACTTGTCACTCATCCAAGCATCCATTATAGACTTAATCCTAAACCTACACTTGTCAACCATCCAAGCCAACAAATGCACCAATCCTAGGTCAACAAGTGGCTCAATCTCCACCCTCCACATGTCATCATCCAAGGCATCAAGGTGTTTCCACATAAATGTCAACAAGTGGATCAATGAGAGTGTGACACTTGTCACACTTTCCGGAAATTGCAAAAAGGTCCTTTTTGAAAATATCTTCCAAATTAAATTGCAAAATGGTTCCTAAGACAAAAAATAATTACTTTACAGTAATTACACAAAAACGCCAAAAGTTTAGAATATTACGAAAAGGTTATGCGTCTGTACCCCTTACAAGAAAAGTAAGCACTCAGCATGCTTTTCTACAAATGTGAAAATACACATAGTATGGAATTTAAATATCGTGGATGCATGCAAAACCGGAATCAAATCCGAACACGAAAAGTGAGGTTATGCCAACAAAGTGATAACCGAGGAAAAGACGAAAGGTGAATAGTGTCACAAAAGTGAAAATGTGAAAATGACTCGGTCCTTAAAGGAAGTCGTCAATCCACGGAAAAGAGTTTCGAAAACCATCCCCGAGTACTTAAGATAACATTAAGTGACGAGCAACCGAACTCAGAAAGGAAAAGATCAGCGGAAAAAAAAATATCCGTGAAAATTTGAGAAAAAGAAAGGAAGGAAAATGACCGGGTCATTACAAATATTCATACGCACACGTGTTACACATGTATAACTTTTTTTGTGCATACATACTACTATATTATTAAAATGATATGCACAAAAAAAGTTCATGTGTATAAAATATGATACCTTAATATACAAAAGTAATATCATTAAGGGTCTTGTGCCCTACTGATATTTTTTTTATTTTCCAAAATAAATGGTGGTAGTTTGAGTTTCAAAAGGGACAAAGCAGGTGCATGGTGTGTGCGATTCTTGACAATGAAAAAAAAAAAGGTACAAAAATGGTGGTATTACTCAATAACTTAATTGGTAAAATGTCCAACTTCCTAAGTCGGTGTGCCCATGTTTAAGTCACTCCTCTCATTTTTTGCCTAAAAAAAAAAAATACAAAGAAAATAGTAAGAATAATTTAGACAAATGATTAGTATTTTTCATGTTAATGATATACTTATTTTTAAAAAATACATTATTTTAAAGAGTGTTGACTTTAACTCTGTTAATTTCAATTTTTTTTTTTTTTTTTTTTTTTTTTAAGTTAGCACCAGGAACTCTCCTAAGCAGGGCCCCTTCGGGACCTACCATAGGCTACAAACATGGGGGTGTAGAGTCTCGTCCCAAGGATACACCAGATGAGTCCGAGGATATGGATGGTTTGGGAGGAGTCGAACACTAGCCGGGTGTGTGCAAGTGCCAAGCTCCTTCCATCACAGCCAAGCCCCGACGCCTGGCCTATTAATTTCAATGTTGGCTGCCCAAAATTTCATTTATTTGTAAGTATCCCTCAACCTTGTTGAATGAAAGGGCAATTGATCATACAACAAATTGTTTTACAAATTTTAGTGTTGTTCCTAATTTAAATTTTTCTCATTTCGGCGATGTAGAGTGCGTAATAACATTACTCATCATATTTGTTGATTAAAAAAACCTTGTTCGTACTAATTAGACTAATTAGGTCAAAGGTTGAATATGTTTGTCGATTTAAAAAACTTGCACCTGTTAAGTAGACTAATTAGGTCAAAGTGAAACATGAAATCAATGATTCACAATTTAAATTAAAAAATTAGTTTAAATTTTAACTTCAGTGCACTAATTTTATACTATCAAAACATAAATCAACAACATGTGAAAGAATTTTATTATTTTTTTCCTGGTTGCATATATAAAAGTAAAAGATTAACCTCCCCAGAAATTTTAATTACGAGTTTTTAACTCAAAATAATTCATGACTATTCTATGTGAAAAAGGTACATAGACAAAGTTTCGTACCAGTATAAATTTAACTTTACTTTTTGAACGGACGGAATGAACTGAAGTTAGAACAGAAGATATGCCAGCCGTTGGATGTTAAGTGTGGGACCCAGTTGAATTCCCAACTGTACATCTTATGGCTGGAAGTGCACACCTTCGATTATCAATTTCGGTTGTTGATTCCTTCAATTAGCGTATAGTATTGTCTAGATTTTGATTGAAATTAACGCTCGCAATAATTTTTTATAACTAAAATTTCATGGGATGTTCTCAATACTGTGAAGGCTATCATTGTCCATCGAATTGACCCCATCGTCACTGTCAGCAAATCTTCGAATTCTCCCTCTGAAATCATGGACTCAAACAACTGTTTCGGAGGATCAGAGCGACTTTTAGCCTTGGCTGGACAGCTTCGTCTCTACAAAGCTCCTCCAACACTCGATGACACAGATAGTGAAGAGCAAAGAATCGAGGAGAGTACAGGGAAGGTTGTTTCTCAGGTGGGTTTTGCTGAATCCGCAACGCCAATTGCCCACCTACCCGAAAGATTCAGACCCAAGAGAGCCGCTGTTCTTATCTGCCTCTTCGAAGGGGACGATGGTGATCTTCGTGTTATCCTCACCAAGCGTTCTTCAAGACTCTCTACCCACCCTGGTCAGTAGCCCCTTACTTCTATCAATACAAAATATGTATGTATTTTGTAATTACTATACTAATCTAGTGGATTTTGTTATTTAGGTTGTGGGTGTTTTGTTATTGATGGTAATGGTGTGTAAATTTTTGCTAATTATGAATTTATGATGATGATGTTGTGGTTTTGTGTGTGTGTGTGTGTGTTTTTTTTTTTTTTTTTTTTAAATCATTTATGCAAAATGGGTGTTTTTGTTGACGGTTGCATATGTAATAGGCTTCTCTTGAGGTCTTAATGTACGTGGAAAAGGTTTTGTGGAAAAGGTTTTTGGTAAGGTCTGTATGCTAGAATAGAACCATGTACATTGCACTTCTTTTCCTTTCATCCTCGTGCTCAGTTGTTTCAATTTAACAAATGGATTTCTTCGTATATGTTTGTTTTAAAGATTTCGAGGTTATTTTTACAATCCTCCTCTCCCCCTATGGTAAGGTTTCAATATATATATATATTGTTTTCTCCAGGTAAGGTTTCAATTTACCAAGTGAAATTTGTTCTTTTTTATAGGTTTTTTTTTGTCAATTATCATGATGATGATGTTGCATTTTGTGTGTCCGGTGATTTTTTTTTTTTTTTTTCAATATATATCATTTAGACAACAACGGGTGTTTTTGTTGATGGTTGCATATGTTTGAATATGTATGTTGGTTGTTTCAATTTATCAAGTTGATTTCTTTTGTATATGTGTTTTTAAGATTGTAAGGTTACATTCCCCCTCCCTTATTGTGAGGTTTCAATTTACCAAGTGAAAGATTGCTCTTTTTGTGGGTTTTGTTGATGATAATATTTTGTGCATGTGGCTATTGTTGATTTTACCAAGTTTGTGTTTTTGACTGTAGGTGAAATTGCATTGCCCGGAGGGAAAGCAGAGGAGGGAGATGCAGATGACGCTGCAACAGCAATAAGGGAAGCTAGGGAGGAGATAGGGTTGGACCCTTCTCTTGTGAGTGTTGTGACCGTTCTCGAACCATTCTTGTCTAAGGTAGATTATGGTGTTTCTTTTATAATTTCTCCAAACATCAGTGATGTGATTGTAATTTATGCATTTTATTGCTCCTAAAGGTATTCTGGGTCATGTCCACGAGATGACCACTCATTTGCACTAGCCACCTAAGTAATATTTCATTTCAATTCTGATATCTTCTTGCAAATATTGTTGTGGTTAGGTTTATATAAAAGAAACATGTACAATATGTTTAATGAGATATAAGAGGTACTGTAGATATTCGCAAGTATTGGCATGTAATTTTATGATATGAACAATGAAATAAAATAATAATCTTTCTTGGTGAGAATGAAAGAACTACAAATAAAAAAATGAAGGGATGAAAGGAAACAAACAATAATAAACTTAAATTTACATTTTATCAGGAAGAAAAATAATAACTTTTCAACAGAGAAAGTTCCCTTAATTTGAGTCTTGAGAATGCCGTCTTTCAGCCTAGTTGGGCTTATATGATGTGTTGATTTGTTAGCATTCCGTTCTCTCTTGCTTATCATTACACTTCTTAGAAGAAAGAGTAAGATGGTACAACACTTCTTTTTGTCTTTGTTCATTTCTGTTGCAAGTCAAGCTCAAAATGTAAGATAATGCCAAATGTCATGTTTGTATATAGTCATCCCCTTCGGCATCCTGCATAGGTGGGACATATAATGGGTAATCCACTCATGCCAAGTTAAACATGTAGTGGAAACAAGGATCCTCAAATAACACAATACTTGAATCTAGTTTTTGGTAAACTATTGTTGATTTTCAAATGAAGTGATTTCTATTCCAGTTATTAGTTCAAATTTATGGACAATAGACTCGGATACATGTGTCAAGTGCAGTAATTTAACACTCATATCTAAGGACACGTGGCTAATTATTCACATTTCTTAATATCATTTTCTTGTTTTCTAGGATAAATTTTTTTTTTTTTTTTTAACATACTGTTCAACATGGGCACTTCACATATATTGAAACAACCATGTTGTGGATCGAGCAAAACAGAGGGTTTTTTGTACAACTAAAAATATATAATTACTGGACATGCTTGCTGGGTGCATCTCCAACTGCACATATTGGACACGTATCCTATTCTCATACATTTATGTCATCTGCTCAATGCCAGTGCTTAACACACATAGAAGAGTCTATGTCACCGGCTTTCACCCAATGATTACAACCCATGCCATATATAGCCATAAAGGTGACATGGGACTAACAAAATTATGCAGATCGCCATTAACATAATTACACTTGGAACAATAATACTCCTGTTCAATTGAAACTTCAATGTTAGCTTTAGTTTTGCCTATAGTAACATCTTCATTTTTATGCGCAGCATCTTCTCAGAGTGATTCCTGTGATTGGCTTACTTGCCGATAAGAAAGCCTTTAAACCTGCTCCAAATGCTGCTGAAGTAGATGCAGTATTTGATGCTCCTTTGGAAATGTTCATCAAGGTTCTGCTCTTTGGTGACATTTCTTCCTTTGCCTCAGATTATCTAGTTGCGGTTTTAATTTTAATAGATTGCATATAATGTCTTGATCTAGGATGAAAACAGGAGAGCAGAAGAGAAAGAGTGGATGGGAGACAAGTATCTGGTTCATCACTTCGATTATAGAACGAACAATGAGAAGTATGTGGTATGTGGACTAACTGCTGGGGTTTTGATTAAGGCAGCATCAGTGGTATACCAAAGGCCACCGGCTTTCCTGGAGCAGAATCCCAAATTCAAATTTCCCAGTGTTGTAGACAAATATACTATAATGCCTTAAATTTAATGAAATTTTATCAGGTTGTATTATGCCTTATTATCCTCTGCAATAAGATCCACTTGAAGCAGTACCTTCAGTAATTTGATCTGCTAGAGTAATGATCAATGTTACTTTTAAGTGTTTGAAACCAATGTGTTCATACTGTTGGGTTTTCCTAACACTCTGCTGTTATGAATGCTATATAGAATGGAAAGCTCAAAAAGGTTTTACCAAAAAAATTAGAGACTTGAGGAGGCAACTCGTATCAACTGTCAAAATATCTTTGGCAAGGTGTATATGAGCAAACTTTTCTGTCACTTAATTTTGACCGTTCATCAGGTTAGTCATCTTCAGCAACTTTCAAAATTTTGTTTAGCATATAGTTCTTGATTGATAAGCTTTTCTTGCAGAATCTTTACCCAAAATCACAAAGCTTGCTTTCAGTTGCTCATATTTTATCCAGAGTTTTTACTCATTTGCAGGAAGGATGCTACAAACTTCCATTTTAGAGCTACCAAACAATTGTATGATATTTACTTGAAGCAACCCAGCTTCCATTTTTTTTTTTTCCCTTCTACTTCAAACACCCCCCAGTAGTTTGGTAATTTCAAGTACCCAGTTTATGAATGCAAATTTTGAACCACATGCTCAATTTATCCAGTAACCATCTTCATGAATCTGAGTAACGAAGTAAAATGAACATAAAATTGCAAGTAACCCGCCTAATTTATTATTCTTCGAGTGCTGTTTCTTTTATATATAGATATATACAGAATCAACAGTCACTATATTTAGCTGGTTCACAAGAGACGAACTCTGGACTGAACAGGAAGTTACAACTCGACTCGCATAATTTTATTATTCTTCCTTGATCTTGACTACTGTTTCCTTTATATATATATAAAACCACGTGCCGATTGGAATGAGGACCACTGTCCATTTTCAAAAGTCAAATCATTTTACCCCATCAACAACCCCTTATCATATTCTTTTCTTGGAATAAAATAGAACCCCCAAGCCCAGCTTTTCCTAGATCTCTCTTCCTCTGAGAGATCATGGCTTCAAACAGATTTGGAGGATCCGAGAGACTGATAAACTTGTCCCTACACCTCAGTCTACACAAAACTCTCCACCCCATCCCCATTGACAACACCAACCACCACAATTCCATTGAATACCCAACAGTCAAAGACAAGACAGAAGAGGTTGTTTTTCAAGAATTGGGTTCAAATGTAGAATTGGCAACAAAACCAATTGCCAAGCAACCTGAAACATTCAGATCCAAACGAGCTGCGGTTCTGATCTGTCTCTTTGAAGACAACCAAGGCGATCTGAGGGTACTTCTCACCAAGCGTTCTTCAACACTATCCACTCACTCAGGTCAGTGGCCTTATCATGATGATGATGATTCAGGTCTTTACATGTTTGTTTCCAAACACTCACTTTGGTTGCAGGTGAAGTTGCATTGCCTGGAGGAAAAAGAGAGGAAGGCGATGCCGACGACATCGAGACAGCACTTAGAGAGGCCAAGGAAGAGATAGGCTTGGACCCTTCTCTTGTGAACGTTGTTACTGTTCTTGAAGCTTTTGTAACCAAGGTAAATATAGTTAGGATGTGCAATTCAGTGAGTAAGTAGCTTTGCTTTACTCTGAATTTCAAATAATTTATCAATTCTTTATGTTTCTGATGAAATATTAATGCTTATTATCACTTAATATGAATTTGGATATGTGTCTATTTCGTCATATGCTAGAGATTTTTCATTTATTCAAATACACTTAAGGAGAAGGCTTTAGATGGAGTTTGGTTATTGAAATGACAAGTATCTGGATAGAAGAAATGCAAGAAATGTAATACAGTAGAAGATATGATTGCAGAGAGGATTTATGTATCCAAAGAGTTGGACTAAAGCTTTGCTCAAGTTATTAACATGTTTAGGAACTTTATTGTTGTTTAGATATTGGTCATGTGTTGGCACTAAATTGTCTTGGTGGGAAATTGGGAATTGTTCTTCTTAGCTATAATTGACAATGAAAATCATCAACAATTTGTGAATGTTTTGTTATTGACAACCAATTCTTTAGCCCCTAATTCGCCTGCAATGTTCAATCACACTTGTTGAATTAATCAACTAAAGCTCTTTTGTTATATATTTGGGTAGAGATCAACGTTTATAATAAGATCACAAATTTAGAGAAACTTCTGAAGTCCTCAATGAGACTGGAAGCTTCTATAGACTCAGCCCAGCGCTCAATGTATGATAATTAGAAGTCAACGTTTATTTCTTCGTTGTGTAACCTCCAGCCATCCCCATCAAAATCTCAAACCAACACTTTTCCGGCTTCTCTAGGGCAGTCTCAAGTGTCTTTCGGCCATATGCATACGATTTGCTGAAAAGGGTCGCATAACCTTTATGTTTGTGGCATTATGTAGCTTTATTGTCAAATTTAAAGAAGTAATTTGTTTCCTCTGCAGAGTGGTCTGACAGTGGTTCCTGTGATTGGCATACTCTTGGACAAGAAAGCATTCAATCCAACTCCAAATGAAGCTGAAGTGGATGCAATATTTGATGCCCCTCTAGATATGTTCCTTAAGGTTAACAATCTGATTCCGTTTATTCATAACAGCTTTGGTTGCCTTTAGTTACGTTTACAAATTTTATTTTATGTTTGTGGGTTTAGGATGAAAATCGAAGAGCAGAGGAGAGAGAATGGATGGGAGACAAATATCTACTACATTTCTTTGATTATGAAGCACAGAATGGGAAGTTGTATGTTATATGGGCATTAACAGCTGGGATTTTAATTACAGTTGCATCAGTTGTGTACCAACGGTCACCGGCCTTTCTAGAGCGAAAACCTAGATTCTGGAATAGGTGCAAATGAAGATATTTGTATTCCATTCTATTTGATAAAGGTTGCATTCAGTAGTGTTCTATGCTATGTTTCTCTTATTTTGTGTAAGAAAATGTGGGACAAGTCAAAAGTCCTACTTCTATCATATTGTAAAGATACCATAACAATGCCATAATTTTGAAAGTCACTTTTGTTTTTGTTTCTCTGGGTTAATTTGGCCAAAAGTTGATGAAACTAAAATGGTGTTCACCAGCGAGTGAATTGCGGGGCCAAAGCTGCACTTAACATTCTTGTAATAATATTTTAAGAAAGTTTGTCATCGTGCAGAGGTAAAAACCAAGTTAGAAAAATGCATACAAATCAAAAAGCAAAAACATGAAAAATGAGCATGCTCCAAATTTGTTGAGAACAAGAGTCAAAAGCTTGTACTATACAAGGACAACAACCCAGAGAAAAAATTAGCAATAGGAGTGAGCCAAAGGTCTGACCATTATTGAGTCAACAACTCTAAAACTACATCCACACGACGTTCCGACAGGGAAAAACTATCTGAAACCCACATAAGATCAAATTAAGTTGGGAACAAACCAAAATCGACATAGATTAGAGATCTAGCTGGAGAGAAAACAACAAATCTATCCATATTAATCGAAAACAAGCCAAATATGACCAGATTTAACCGACCAAAAACAAAAATGGTGAAAAACATCCACAGAAAAATACCTACAGAACAAGCATGTAACGACCCAAAAAGATACCAAAACAATAATAATAAAAATATAAAATTTCGGCATGACCTCTGCAGAAAAAGTTCCTCTACAACCTGTTGAAATACAAACAAAAAAAAAATGCAATGGCCTCATGGGCCTTAAAAATAACCTATCATGTCTCAACGCACAATACAGATATTATGTCACATTCCCAAGATGGTTACATATATATGAAATGTTCCCTTCCTCTATCTCATCCAAATAAGGAGTACACTTTAGTTACATCAAGTTACAGTTCATAAAATGTAGCTAGAATTTAAAAGTCCATAGCTTACAACATTATACCAAATAAACTAAAGTTTCACAAAATAGTTAAGATTACATTTACAAAATATTAGAGTTCTAATACAAAAGATAGTAAAAGTAAAATAGATCCCCAAGCTCGTCTCTAAACTTGTGGTGAATCGTCGTTCGCCACCTCTTTTCCATGTCCTGAAAAATGTTTAAAATAATGAGGTGAGCATAAACTCAGTATAAAGTGTCTAAGACACTCTTCTTATATCCCCGTGAATCTATACAATGAATAGATAAAAGTGAACGGGATCATGCCATAGGAAAACGCACATTCTCAAACATAATAACAAGTATGTAACAAATATCAATCAATCACAAATTTACCACAATGTCATGAAGTGCAATGTTATGCAAATGTCATTCCCCATTTTCCGAAACATTTTCGTTTCAACTTTCAAACTGTTAGTGTAATCCGACCCAAGGCACCTCCAAGGCGTCACGAATGGAGGGTTGACTAACTATCCACGACCACAAGACACCTCCAAGGCATTGCATTCGGCCTAGTTATCTCAACCATACTTCTTTCTAGACAACACTAACATCATGGACCACTAGGCGCCTCCTAGGTGTCCGGTTTTCGCAAACTCCTTTAAAAAAATATTTTTCCCAAGAACAAATTCATTTATTTTAAAACATTCCCCCCCCCCCCCCCCTATTTCTTTCTCAATGGATACATAAATGTTTCATGCTTCATTTCATCAATTCAACCATAAAGTTTCCACATACTTTTTCAAATAAATTAATAAGTTACTAAAAATGGACAACTCATATTCTCATTCCACATTTTACTAGTAATTTAAATCAACAATTCACAAATTTATTTCCATACTTATAATATAAATTTTCATAGTAATTGAAATCATGAAAACAAACCAACACTAAGCATGCTTCTTTACCAGTTAAAAATCATCATACTAATAAACTCAATTAACACATAACACACATTTATCACTATCAATATAAATAACCCTAACGAATATAATCACAAAAAATTAAAATTAAGCATGCTTAAAGTCAAATTAAAGGGAAAAATTTATAAGAAACGCAAGAATTAGTGAATTAGAGCACCCCTACCTCAAATTTGATAAAAAAAAAAATCCCAATTTGAGTCCAAGAACCCTAGAATTTCGAACTCCCTAAAATGCACCAAAACTGAAATTGCTTACACCTACTTGAAGATCTCGCCGTGCTCTCTGTTTTTGTAACGACCCTAGCTGATGCCAAAAATTTAAAAAATTTCGGTATAATCTCCCCTAAAAATGGGCCTTCAACAACCTGTCCCAATGCACAAAACACATAAAATCATCTAGCATCACATTCATCCGTTCATTAAACCTTAACATAGTTCCTTTCATGGTGGAACATCCACACACCAATTAATCTAAATTATCATAATTACAGTCCCAAAATACAAGATTAATATTTAAAGTCCCTGTCTTACAACGTTACATGATACAATTGCATGGAAACATATACTATAATTCCACTAGTTTCATTTACATCAAACAAAAGATAAGTTTGTTCTTAAGTTACAACGCCATGAATACTAACTTAGTTACATTTCCACAACTACAAATATACATAGAACGGTCAAAATACAAAATAGCAAACAACCTTCTAACAACTTTCAAGCTTGAGGTGGATTGTCGTCCACCAGTTCATTTCCAAAACTTGAAAAAAATAATATAAATAGTAGGGTGAGCATAAAGCTCAGCAGGTGACACTTAAGACACACATCTTGTGTCCTTGTGAATCCAAACAAAGCATAGTCCAATGGGAAATGGGTCTCATACAATGTCGGGAAATAATACAGCATAACGATTCAATGTCAAGTATATCTAATGCAATGGTATGAGACGCAATGCATGCTATTGTCGCTCCCCATTTTCATAATCCAAAACATTGTTTCCAAACTGTTAATACAGCCCGCCCTTTGGTAGCCTCGCTGCGATACGAGAGGAGGATTGGCTAGTGTCCCTGACCCTTGGTAACCCCGCGGCGTCATTATGGGGCGCAGCTAGCTCAACCACGCTAGGGCGACTCCCTAGTCCCCTCTAGGCTATATTAACTTCCGGTCCGTTGGTAACCCCGCAGCGACCGGGTTTCGCATAAAACCATTTCATCAAAAACATTTCCCTGAAATTCCCCATATTTATTTCAAGAACAATTTCTCCCATTTCATGCAAACCCAATGGTATGTGCATGTATATATGTTCCATACATTCAATGTCATGGCATTTAAAATTCTACACCATAAAATTAAACATTCAACATGTTCAACATCTCCCAAGTAATTATTAACACATTAAGATATAACAAAATACATTTAAGCATGCTTTACACATAAAACAACTCACATTCAAATATATGAATTTCTCTAGACAACATTTAAAATAATCATTGATACAATTAACTTCTAATTAAGCATGCTTGGCACAACAAATGATTATAACTCACAATGGAACAAGAAGGTAGTGGATTAAGGTGTCCCTACCTCAAATTTACACAAAACCCTTAAAATGGGTCTTGAATTTCGAACTCCAAGAAGGGCACCAAATCTGGAATTGTTCGTATGGATGCGTAGAGTTCGTCGTGGGTTTCGTTTTGCCTCAAACGGCACCTTAATCCGATAAGAGATGAGAGAGAAATTAAGCCTTGAAGCTTTGAAGAACAAAAAAGAAAAAAAAAGAGAGCTACTGGACGAGAGAGAGTGTGATACGCAGAGAAGAAGAAATAAGTCACTATATTGGCTTATAAATCATGTGGGCCCCACAGGTGAATAAAATTTTATTTAACTTTAACATATATATATATATATATATATATATATATATATATATATATATATATAAAGTCAAAAACATTACATTCTCCCTAACTTTAAAAAAGATTTCGCCCCCGAAATCAAGCCATACCTGAGAGAGAAAACAACTCTGGATACTTAGAGCGAACCTCCTGTTCGAGCTCCCAAGTAGCCTCCTCAACTCCGTGGTGTCTCCAAAGGACTTTCACCATTGGTATCGTCTTGTTACTCAACACCTTTTGTTGTGTGTCAAGAATCTGAACTGGTCCTTCCTCGTAGGAAACATCCTCATCAACCCAACTCAAAATGTGAGATGGATCTGGCTCGTATTTCCGTAACATCGATACATGGAAAACATTGTGGACCCTATCCAACTGTGGTGGCAAAGCAAGTCTGGTGGCAACCTCTCCTACACGGTCCAAAATCTCAAATGGTCCAATGAATCGTGGAGACAACTTGCCACTTTTCCCGAATCTCATCAATCCCTTCCGTGGAGAAACCCGAAGAAAAACATGGTCTCCCGCCTCAAAGGATAACGACCGTCTCCGCTTATCCGCATAACTCTTCTGTCGGCTCTGAGCTGTAAGTAACCTCTGTCTTATCAACTTAATCTTCTCAGTAGTCTCGAGTACAATGTCAGGTCCTAAGGCGGCTGTCTCGCCTACCTCAGTCCAACAAACAGGAGACCTATAAGGTCTACCATACAACGCCTCAAATGGAGCCATCTGAATGCTCGCCTGATAACTGTTGTTGTAGGCAAATTCAATAAGTGGAAGGTGATCCTCCCAACTACCACCCAAGTCAAGCACACATGCCCGAATCATATCCTCCAAAATCTGGATAGTACGCTCCGACTGATCGTCAGTCTGTGGATGGAATGCCGTACTCAGGTGTAACGCTGAGCTAAACGCTGCTTGAAGTCCTTCCCAAAACTTCGAAGTGAACTTAGCATCCCTATCTGAAACAACGGTTACTGGAACTCCATGCAACCTTACAATCTCCTTCATGTAAAGAACACCAAGCTTCTCTGCATCATCTGTTGCCTTAATAGGCAAAAAGTGAGCCGTCTTGGTCAATCTGTCAATGATGACCCATACGGACTCATTGCCCCTTCGTGACCTTGGAAGACCTGTCACAAAATCCATAGCAATATGCTCCCATTTCCATTGCGCCACAGATAATGGTTACAACAAACCGGCTAGTCTCTGATGCTCGGCCTTCACCTACTGACAGGTAAGGCATCTAGCCACAAACTGTGTAACATCTTTTTTCATCCCGTTCCACTAATACTGACGTCTCAAATTGTGATACATCTTGGTACCACCTGGATGAAC